GGGCACCACGACTCCATCCACACGGGCACCACGACCGCATCCACAAGGGCACCATGACCGCATCCACACACGGGCACCACGAACGCCTCCACACGAGCACCACGACTCCATCCACACGGGCACCACGACCGCATCCACAAGGGCACCATGACCGCCTGGTGCCCACCTCCACATGGGCACCATGACCCCATCCACATGGGCACCATGACTGCATCCACACGGGCACCATGACTGCAGCGATACTGCCGCTACTTACTGAGATGAACCTGGCCATTAATCGCAAAGATCTGAGAATTGACACAAAGCGAGCCAGTGGAGCTGGAGGCCAGCACAGAAATACTACCAGTGTGGTCAGCAACGTTCACCCCCTGGCAGGTGTCGTTTCTGAATGCCAACATGAGTGATCACAACTGAAAACTAGAAAGCCGGCTGTTGAGAAAGTGACGGGCAAAACCCTCCAGTGTGCAGCTTGAATAAATAAGAAACAAGTGAACGGTCCACGGCAAGGAAGATTCAGATTGGAACTCAAGGAAGGTCAGAGAAAATAAGGACAGAGTTTTCCACAGAACCGCGTCACAGACCACAGAATAAACAAGGCACTGCATGATCCTGAAGCTTTATGCAGGGAGGGCGTCTACTGGATGAACACGTGTGGTCACTGACGGAATACGCCAATTACGAATCCTTAGCAGAAGCTATTTCCAAAAATGCTGAAATGGATTCTGTTAAACCCTTTGACACTTACGAAGAGGCTACTACAGCACATCAGGTTTTGTATAATACTCTCCAGCGTTTTCTTGAAAAATTGGAGTTAACAAAATTGAGGAGTATGCCTTCTTCTCGAAACCGATGATTTATATAAATGCACAGATTTCAAAAAAGAAATCATGGCTGTGATTGTCCATCTTGGACTCTTCCTTACAAGAAGCAAAGAAAAATAGTTTGGTTGTATGCTGCATTTAATGCATGATTAAAAATTTCTAGCATGAAAAACATCAAACGTAAAAGAAAAACAGTCATATAGCAATAAATACTGTATTTGGAAAAATAGAAAAAGACATCATTCTGGAATATTGTAGGGGTTTGGTGAAAGACCCTCAATGAGATAAAGTGGCACAGTGACTAGAGCGGTGGGCTGAGCACCCCGAGATGGTGAGGGGGTACATAACAGGCTGAGGCTCCGATCTCATGTACCCAGGGCTGCCATCAGTTCCAGTCTACTTTTTGGCACCGGATAACCACATTGTTTCTTTGACCCACACTAAGGGCTACTAAGAATTTAGAGGACGCTCACCTTCAGAACACACTATATGTTAAAATATTTTTGTTTCTTTGGTTTCAAATACACAAACAGCAAGAGTCTCAGACCCTGTGGGTGATAAGGAGTTCAGTGGAGGTGTTCGGGACTGTTCTAAGGTAATCTTGCCCTGCTTAGGGTACTGGTTTGGGACTTAGGAGGTTGCTTTTCACTCTAAGACATCGGCATTTAAATTCTGCACTTAGGCATGAAGTTAATATGCCACAGAGTATCCTGTCCAAAAGAAGCAAGGCAGCAAAATAAAACCAAACCAAAACTGAGCTTGCTCTTCCCAACTATTACATTCTTTACTAAAGGAGGGGATCCATCTTGCTGGAGAAAGGAAATAATATGAAAAATAATACATTTACAGCATGTTGTTGTTCTATACTGTAGTGCTGGAACTGACTCATAGCTGGCCCTCCAGTGGGTTTTCAGAGGCAGTTAATCAAACAGGAGGAGACTGCCCATCCTTCTCCCATGGTGCAAGAAGTGGATCAGAACTGCATGCCTTTGGGTAGGCCATGCAACTCTTTACCACATGAGAAATGGTAACTACAAACCCAAACTCACTGCCATTGTGCTAAGTTCGACTCATGGCAACCCCACAGGGCAGAGATTTGTCCCAGAGGGTTTCAAGGTTGTAATCTGTGTAGAAGAAGCCAGCCACTTCTCTCTCCTATGACCAAAGGCTCAGCTGGTAAGCACACAATCAGCAGATCGAATACACCAGTCACCGCAAAGGCACAGACCTGGTGGTCTGCTGCTTAAATATTCACAGCCTTGGAAACCCCATGAGGCACTGCTAGTCTTCCCTATAGGGCTTAGAGCAGTGGATATGGCGTCATGCCCTGTGTATCTGTGATTATAATCCATCTGAGAATGAGTTTCCTTTGTTAGGTTAATGATCTACTATTCAGGTAGGATGTGACTTAAATCAATCTTACTTGGTTGCTCCGTCATCGTACGTTCCCATTAAGACTATGGTTCCATCCTGTATGGACTTCAGAAATTCAATAAATGGGGCCACATCTGAAGAAAAAGAAAAAGTTGAAGACTTTAAAAAAGAAAATTAATAATCATCTCAATCACTTAACTGGGAAGAATTTCCAAATCATCAATTTACAATGTGGAACAGTTAAAATTGAGGACAAAAATAAAACAACTGAAGGTTTGTTTGGGTTGGTTTTTTTCCCAAGAATGGTCAAGGTCACCCCTTAACATGAGCTAATCATCAGCTCCAAGCCTGAATCGCTCTGTGCTCTTTTGTACTGATTATTCCAGGGGCTAAATAAATTATGATACAAAGGGGGAAAAAAAACCCCAAAGATCTCTCAAACAAGAATAAATGGGATTAGGGAAAACGTAATTCTGAGGTCCGGGACAAAACTTGTTTCTACCAGTATGCTACACTATTTTGAACTGGTTTGAAGAATTTGATCACAGCTGAAGTGAAATTGGAACAGACCTGAATTTTTTAAAAAATTGGGTGATCTGGAATGCACATCAGAATGAGAAATACTTCGACCAAAGTTCCGGGATGGGAGAGACTCTAAGAGGTGTGGTGGGTCCTTTTCAGAGCCTGATGTGTGATACTGGCTTGCTGCCAGGCCTCTGGGGCCTGACACATGCACAAAGCTGTGTATGCAGCTGCCGTCTCTGAGTCAGGAGTCACTGAGTGGTTTTTGACCCAGCTAAGCAACATGGTTGTTATGCTGTGTGTAAGCTGCTTTCATTCTGGTTCACCTATATGTTAAAAGTCTGGATCCTTCCCAAGCTTCCCTTTACCCACAACTGGATCAGTTTAAACATTTGAAACTTTTCTACAAAGAAGATAAGATACATAGTGTTTAGCCAAGTATCAGAGGGAACTGAAGTTCTAAGATGTTATATAATTATGGACCAATATGCACACCCATTTAAGGGCTCCTTAGGCTCATCCGCTAGCCATGAGCTGGGGGAAAGAATCAAGATCAGATTATTATTATAAGACAAATTATGGTAGTTATTAAAGTTATGGACTACTTTATCTAGTGTATCAAGATCCATATAAACTTCAAAAGAAACTCCTTCAGCGGCTACAAACCAGAGATGTCAGCCCAAGAAACGGAAGAGTCAGAAACCAAAAGGCATTTGCACTCAAGCTCTTTAAGCCAAAATCAAACACATTTCAACCCCGGGTGACTTTAACTGACTCAGCTCCTTTCCATAACAAAATCTTCCGAAGATGTTCCTAAGTGATCCTATTTTATACTTTAGTATTAAAAACCCCAGGTCATCAATTCTGACTCAGAGTGGTCCCGTGGGACAGAGGAGAACCGCCCCGAAGGCTTCCCAAGGCTGTGAATCTTTGTAGAAAGATTCAAGCCTGCCACCAAGCCTTCCGCCCGAGGTCCAACTGGTGGGTTCCAACCGCTGAGCTTCCAGTTAGCAGCCAAGTGTTTTAACCCCTGTGCCACCAAAGCTCCTGTTCCCCTCATCACATTTTCAAATCAGAAAAAATGTAATAAGATAGTTTTAAAAAACCCACCTTTTGATTTAACTGCAAAGATATAAGTAAATCAGAGGGCTGGATTTTTTAACTAGTGGTGTTTTTAATCTACCTTCAATGGGGGTAATTTAAAAGGTTAAACAGTAAGAAACTGCACTGCAATTCCAAAGGCACACAGTTCGAATTCATCAGCTGCTCCATGAGAGAATTATGGGTAGTCTCCTCCTGTGATTAACAGCCTCTGAAAACCCACCGGAGGATGAGGTATGGGTTGGTTCCAACTCAATGGAACTCAACACCAACAAATGTATTGATTTCTTCTATGACTTGTTGGGGCAGAGACCAGCACTGTACTGGTCTTAACAACAGATTTGCACGAGTGTTTTTTCTACAGTAAGCATTGGCAGGACCTTGACTTTTGAAATTGATAGTAGCTTTTTAGTTTCCATAGTTTTGTTATTGATGAAAAGTCTTCCTGCTCTCTTTTAACAAATAATATACGACACTTTATTAAACCCTGAAAAAATATTAGAAAGGTTGATTTTTTCCCCCTACGTTCAAGTAGCATGACTGGTTTTTCCAGGGAATATTTAAATGAGTGGAGAGGTGTGGAGCCGACTGTCAAGCTGACGAAATTCTAAAACTAACAACTCAGAGAAGAACCTAGTGGTAAACCAGTGCCAGGCTCCCTTCAGTAAGGAAGAAACTCCTTTCTCCGAGCAGTATTCATCCCAGCAGTACTCATCCCTGTACAATGTCCTCTCTGTCTGCTGATGACTCTTCACGGTCCCTCGAAGGGCTTCCCAGTAAATATAGAGATACAAAGTTCCCATGAACTATGCAATTGCAGAGAACTACAAAGAAAACGCCATCCAGTTCAGTAATTAGTCATTTTTCACCAGGGCAACTGGGAAGCATAAACAGAATTCTTCCTTCCCTATAACTGGACTGTTAATTTTGAAATGTTGAATGCTCCTAGATTTTGAGATTGAGAAATGCCTGTGTAATCAATTCAATGAATTAAAAGTATTTAAATTGGTTTGCGGGCATTCACACTATATATGTTCTTTATTTTGAGGCCAAAATAACCAAACCCCAAAACCAACACAATCCCCCCCCCAAAAAAAACCCAATCCTAGAGCCCAAACTTTCTTGCTTAGAAAATTAGCCCCCTAGACTAGGTGGTATTTAAAATTAGCTGGCAAAGGAATATTTTCTAAGTCTCGTCTTTTATATTATTGCCTCAATTGCACACCAGTTGATTTTTCTAACAAAATGGAAGTCCATTCATTATAACTGATCACATAAAAACACCTGGGAAGTTGGTGAAAAGGTGGTGAGAGAATGTGGACAAAGAAATAGTTATTTCCTCACTAATGGACTCCTGTTACACGGAGACAACTGGGAAGTCAGTGCTAACAAGTGAAGACAGGGCTCGACACTCTTCACACTTACCTCCGCCCCACATGTCAAAATATTTAGTGTCTAATACTTCTCCTGTTTTTCCTGAAAGAGATTAAGTTCACATCAAATTATATAACTGAAATGTCTGGTACACTGTAAAATAAAATCAATGAGTGATAGGAATTCACTAAGAGAAAATTTATTTTTGAGAGACAGACTTCAGTATGGAGTGTATGAACCGGAAGTCTGTTTTCACACAACTATGTCTGGAGGCTCCTATAGGACTCTCCCACTCACCTTTCTGCCACTGTCCTCCTCTTCTGCATTACGTTAATATTACAAAATGCTAATCAATAAGTCATCAATTTAATGTTAGATTGGCTCTCTCCTGATAATGGCATGTGAGAAGCTCTCCACACAAGTGGCTGAGATGTTCTGGAGAAACCATGCATAAATGCTTGGCATGGACTTCTGAACGGACAAACAAGTATGTCTTGGAAAAATGTGGAGCCAGGGTGGCTTCTTGGAGGCAAGGTCAGGAGCAGCCGTCCTTGGTAAAGGACATCACAGTTGGCAAGGTGGAGGGTCAGTCTAGGAGAAGACTCTCAATGAGACGGACTGACAGGGTGACTGGAACAAGCGGCTTGAGTGTGTCAGAAATGATGAGGAAAACCCGAGATGGGGCAGTTCAGATCTGTTCAGACTGATTCTATGAATCGTGGTCAACTCTCAATGACCCTTGGCAACAACTGTCCATCTAGGCTGGCCACCAATTCTCCAGCTAGTTTTCATTTGTCGGTTTATTTTTGAAAAGGGGAGGGCTTCAAGGTCAAGAGACCATCTTCGAGATAGTGGAATTACTTTAGGTATAAACATAGCTTCTGATTATATCTATAAGTAAAAAGAATTCTTACCATTTACTAAAGCAACATTGATCCCTCTTCCAACATTATTCTTAACACCACTCATTAAGCTGCAGGAGAAAATGTAAACAAAAATTAGATATTTCATATGAACATACTTCAGGGACAGAGTCATGTCCAAAAACAATCTAGTTAGGTATTTATATATGCTACATAGTGCTTTATGAGCCACAGAGGAATGAAACGATCTCTTTGGTGAAATCAATCTAAGGGAAATGAATTTGCCTTTTACTTGTGTTCGGTACTAAGTGAGGGAGAGACTAGTTGAAAAATTTTAAAACAATGTTCATAAAAACTTAATATTAGAGACATATATTAGAAAGTTTTAGAGCAGAAACATGAATTCGTTCTCGGTGCTCTGCATGAGATTATGAAATACGATTTTAGCATCCTGTAAAACACATGGGTAAACTGCACCTAACCAAAGTCACTTGTATCATTATCATACCTGGTAATAGTCAGTGACACTCGGAAATCATTAGAAAGAACGCTACTGTGAAAGAAGCCAGTGAAACATCTGCTGAGCCTATCAGCCAAGCTGTTCAACGAGAACTATTCAACTGAACCAGTCTGAAGATGTGGGAGGGAGGCGTATACGCGCATCTGTATGACACCCATGCATCCACATTTTGCTATGGATGTATACTGAGGGAGCTTTGGTGGCCTACAGGGTAAGGAAAGGTGCTGCCATTCCAAAGGCACATGGTTTGAAACCATCAGCTGCTCCACAGGAGAAAGACAGGCAATCTCTCTCTCATGCAATTTACTGCCTCTGAAAACCTGCTGGAGGGTCAGCTATGAGTTGGTTCTAACACAAAGGCATATAACAGTGTATACTTAAAAAACAAAGTTTTTAATTCTCACAAAATGAGAGTAAGAGAGTCCAGCCAAACTATCATACCAAGAGAAACCTTAAAACCCTAAGATAACTGGCTTCCAGAAAACCTTTAAAAAATTTTTTTTTAAATTTTATTTTATTATTTTTGTGTGTGTGTACTGTCAAATTGAATTTGACTGGTACAGGAGGAGATTGCCCCTCCTTCTTCAGCAGAGCATCTGGTGGATTCAAAGCGCATGCCTCTAGGATTGCTGTGCAGCTTCTTGCCACTAGGCCACCAAAGCTCCCTCAGAGAGCAATTTTTAAGTCAAACAATATAAAGAATATTTGCCTTGGACAGTATGCTCTTTTTAAAAGAATTATCTACATGCAGAGTCAACAACAGAAACATTTAAAGGTCAGACTAGAATCAAGCTTTGGGCAAATCAGTAATTATCTGTATTGTTCTTCAAGAAAATGCTGCAGGCCTATGAGCTTTTTCTATAAACAACATTCTGGCTCTATTTTCAGGGCCGTGAGTAAACTGAAAAACTGGAATATATGCATCTACGAAAAGACTCTTCTTGGGGATATTTTTTACTCTAATCAGAAAAGTTGTAGAGATTTGCTAATTGCATATTAAATAAACCTCAATGTCTACTATTAGGTTAACATTTTTAGCAATATATAAATGTACATAAATTATCCATTTTTCTCCTAGAGTATGTGTAGCACACATTTCCAGAAAAGATAATGAAATCTGTAATACATGATTATAAATTTCACAATAGAACAAACGATTTGTATAAAACGTTTTAGTTGCTATATTTGTCAAACTCTCAACTGCAGCTAACCTGTGCCTGAAACTGATGAATAAAGACTGGTGTTGTCATTTCTGCCCCAGAATTAGACAAAGTAAAGAAAAACAAGAACAGAATTTCCATGTTGTAACTTCACTGGTGTTATCTAGATATCAGCTGTCTCTCCTTAATCAGATAAACGCATCAGAGTTGGATCTTTTATTCCATTCTATTCAATCTGTAACCATTATCTGGTTTTATTTGTTTTTTGTCAAACATTCTTCTATATGGTCTAGCCCTAGTCTGTCCATTTGCTGTACAGAGGTAACTCGTGGTTGCTGTGATACTAAACACTGTGAGCCTGAAGTGTCAAATAGGATAATGGTTAGCCATGGTGGACAGTGTTTGGTGGAGCTCCAAGATGAAAATAAGCTTGGAAGCAAGAGTGGCATCCACTTCTGAAAGAGCTTGCTTCTGAAAGCTCTATGAACTTGGAGAAAAGATGAAAGTTATACAAGTGTTCAGGTCTTTTGTTCATAGGGTTGCTATGAGTCGTCTATGACTCGACAGCACTTAACAACAACATTCAGTCTGTAAGCTGAGCAAATAATTCAAGCATCTGCACAACATGAAACAAAATGTTGCATCACTATCGGAGGAAGACTCCTCAACAACCTGCTGTATGTAGAAGACACACTTTGCTTGCAGAAGGTAAGGAGGATTTTAAACGCTTGCTGCAGAAGATCAAAGATCTTCAGTATGGATTACATTTCAACACAAAAACCCAAAAATTCTTAATTCTGGACCAATAAGTAACATTGTGAAATAAGGAACAAAGACTGAAGTTGTTCACAACTTCGGTCTTGGTAAAATCTGCTGTCAAGGACTTCTCCAAAGTACTAAAGAACAACGATGTCAGTTTAAAGGCTAAGGTGTGCCTGATCCAAGCCAAGGCCTTTTCAATTACTACCTATGCATCTGAAAGTATGGATAACGAATAAGGATGACAGGATAACTGAGGTCTTTGAATTGTGTTGTTGGAGAAGATTACGGAATATCCCATGGACTGCCAAAAGAACAAACAGATCTATTTCAGAAAAAACTGTAACCAGGGTGTTCCTTAGAGCCAAGGATGATAAAACTTTATCTCCCATACGTTGCACATGTTGTCAGGAGGGCCAGTCTTTGGAACTTCGGAAAAGTTCCATGCTGGGAAAGGTGGAAGGTCAGAGGAAGAGAGGAAATCTGTCAACCCGCTGGACTGACACAGTGACGCTAACAATAGACCTCAGCACATGAGGGAGAGTGAGATTGGTGGAGCAGAGGGCAAGGTTCAGATTGATGGCTCACAGGTCACTAGGAGTCACTGCTGACTCAGCAGCAAACAGCAACAACAAAAATGACACGGAGGAGACAGCCATCTTTCGCTGAGAAGCAGCTGGAAGAGCGGAATTGACAACTACTAGCTGAGAGCACAAATCCCTACCCTCTAGGCCACCAGAGGTCAAGGTCAAGAAGACAGAAAATCAGAGGCTGAGGAGGGTGTGGAGAGACTTGAACTCCAATAAAGAAAAGGCACAGCGAGGTGCACAGGAGTTACAGGCACAAAGGTTGAGTACTCAGCATCAATACCTAGTCTTCCTGCAAAAGCTCTCTCATGATTCTGGGAAATGAATGCGTGGCAAAGCGCAGGTCTTCGAATGTGTGGACCTAAGACTAGCTGAGAAGTGGGCAACAGGAAGTAAACAAAGGTGCTATACAAAGAGGCAGGCTTGAAATTCACCCGCCCCTCTCTTTTCCTGAATATATTTGATAAGTAAATGCCATCCCCATTTAGATTAAGGTGGAAGATGGAAGATCTCGGTGTCTTCTCCAGGTCGAGATGACTTAGGAACACGCTGTTCTGTCCCTAACTTCCAATTCATCATTGTTGCTGTCAAATGCCATCGAGTCATACACGACTCATAGCGACCCTATGAATTAAAGACCTGAACACTTGTATAGCTTTCATCATTTTTCCAAGTTCATAGAGTTTCTGGACACAAGTTATTTTGGACGCCACTCCTGCTTCCAAGCTTGTTTTAAGCGGGGAGCTCCACCAAACACTGTCCACCATAGGTAACCATTACTGCACTTGACACATCATTGTCACAGTGTTTAGCTTCACAGCAGCCACGAGTCACCTCTGTCTCATTGCCATTAAAACAGACCTGACTCACAGCTCACTCTGCAGAGTTTCCAAGGCTGTAAACCACCTGGGAGGAGACTGCTCATCTTTCTCCTACAGAGGAGCTGATGGACTTGAACTGTCAGAGAGGAGTCACCTTTGGGTCAACAGCACAACTCTTAACTAAGGACGAGGCCACGAGAGAGAGCTCCCAGTCTCAGCATTCACCAACAGAGAAAAGAACGGCAATGACAGAGAACTGCCACAAGAGGGTAGAAGATTGCCAATTTTTAAAATGGAAACTCAAACCTGTAATCAGTAAATGACCTTTGGTTGATTTTAAAGGTATTAAGTGAATATTTTTTAAGCAAACAAAGTGAACTGAGAAAGAGAGAATGGAGGAAAATTTATAACACTGAGTGAATGAAAATTCAACTTTTCTGTAAACTTTTGTTAAAAATCACAATTAAAAAAATAGGTAAAAAAAAAAAAAGTATGGAGTCACCTTACTAACAGAGGTATACCCTTCATTAATGTAAAGGTTTTACCACCACTACCAAATAAAAAAGGTAAGGAAAATTATTACATAATCTGTAAAGTAGATAAATACTACTTTAGATACACTTTATTTCAAAATGTCTCATAAGGTTCTAGTAAAACTAAAAACAGACCCTGTCATTGGAGTCTGTTCTGACTCACAGCAATACTCCATTTGGTTCCTGAGGCTGTAAACGGTACAAGAATAGACTGCGTATCCTGCTTCCTCAGAGCTAACGGTGGATTTGAACAGCTGGTCACACCACAGCCTTTTGGTCAGCAGGATAACTCCCTATGGTCTAGGCTGCCAGAGCTCCTCATAAGTTGTGGTTGTTGTTGTTGTTATGTGCCATCGAGTTGCTTGCGACTCATAGCGACCCTATGTACAAGAGCTCTATATGCTCTTCTATCCTGTGCCAACCTAGCCATCTCAAACACACTTATTCCCACCTCTCTAGTCACAGAATC